GACTAGACTTCCATTGGAGGCTGTGTTGGTGTGTGGAAGATGTATATTTGGGAGACAGTCATTTCACTGCAGCTGTTCAAAGGTGGGTGAGCAGAGCCTGTGTGTGGGGAAGGATTTCTTAGCAGAGACTACAGCCTGTGCCTTTGCCTGCAGGCCTCGTACCTAGCAGCCCTGACGTGGGCAGTGTTACACACACTGCCTTCCCTTACCGACCAAGAAATCCACACCAAGAGTCAGGGAAGCCAGCTCAAGATCATACAGCATACAGGGCAGCCTAGTTGCATAGTGGCCCTGCTGGCAGTGGGGAAGAGAGGGGAGGGAGTGGACACTTTGAGCCTCAGTGAGGAACGTGGTGACCTGTGGAACATGAGTGGAGTCAAGGAGGAAGAAGCAGATGACAGGCTTGAAAGTTACTTCCAGATAAGTGGGCAGTCAGTGTTCCAGGCAGAGCTGCTTGGGAGGAGCATGTTTTCCATCACGCTGCCATAAGGCCCCAAGAGTGTCCCTGCTGCTCTGTGCCAGGAAATGCTCTGGGTGTCCTGAGGGCACAACCGGACAGGCCTCTCCTCACCAAGTGACTTGGAGATTTCTGGGAGGCCAATTTCAGGGGACTGTCCAGGCTGAGGGGGGGTGTCATTGTCCTTTTTACTCAGTCCAAGAGCTTCTGGCAACACAATTGGATGAGTGCCAGGGCTCCTGACTTGCGAACCGCCCGTGCCTGCCCAGCCTCATCCTTTAGGCTCCTCCCAGGTTCTGCCTTCCTCACCGGGCCGTGCCCACCACTCATCTTTGCTGCTCACCACCGAGTCCAGGCCTGGGAAGCTAACTTGCCTTGTGTGTACACAGAGCCGTTTGGGTTCCTTGGGCATCAGACTAGCCCTCATGTTTGTAGGCTCTCATTGTCCAGGTCTGTGGTGTCACCATTGTGCTCCCGGTGCCTGGCCCCCAGACGCATCCAGAGCAGTCACAGGACAACATATGCCAACACTAGTGGCAGAAGGCCTGGCCCTGGCTGGGGAGACACAGGCAGCTTCTGTGTCAGACATGTGGGCCCAGAGGCCTGATGGTCTGGTGGTCAGAGACTCAGACCCCTCAGGTTTCGGTCCATGCTCATGCCACTCCAGGACACTAGGTGGCCTTGCACAGCTGCCCATCCTCTGGGCCTTGTCACATCTGTAAAGTGGAGCTCACAGATTCATCTTGGTGGTTCTTGTTATGGGTAAGTGGGTTAAATCCATGCAAAGTTCTCAGCTTCTCGCCTGGCATACAGTGAGTGCTTGACAGCAGTGAACTACTTTTTTTAAAAAAAATTAATCTTTTTGCCCTGGCTGGTGTAGCTCAGTGGATTGAGTGCAGGCCTGCAAACCAAACAACCGAGGTTCGATTCCCAGTCAGGGCACATGCCTGGGTTGCAGGCCAGTTCCCAGCAGGGGACACATGAGAGGCAACTACACATTGGTATTTCTCTCCCTCTCTGCTTCCCTTCCCCTCTAAAGATAAATAAATAAAATCTTAAAAAAATTAATCTTTTGGAGTCAGTACGATGATGCACACAATTCAAATTAATCTTTTGGAGTCAGGTTGATGATAACACAATTCAAAGATGTTCCAGAACGTGCGATGGTTTTTCCCTCCCAGCAGGCCCCAGTCTTTATGGGCTCGATTTGGTGGTGGTGGTGGTGGTGATTTTCCTCAGTGTATCTAGGCGAAAGTTCCATGTCAAATAAATAAAAAAGTTTTCTTTGGTTTTTTGGTGGTTCCACAGTGGTGTGAATGGGCCCTAATTTATTTTAGCTCTCCCATCCTCCTCACCATGGGCTTTAAAGTTCTTTAAATCTGAGCTGTTCTTACTGGGAATCTAACAGGATTGTAATGATTCTCTCAGCAAATTTTCACGGAGTGCTCTCTCCGTGCTTTCCCGAGTCTTCGCGAGCGTGTCCTCCTGGGCTTGTTTATACTCATGACTTTTTATTGAGATTTAACTTAGTCGCAGGAACTCGCCCGGTCTTAAGTGTACATCTTGCATTTTAAAATGAGTGCACGCACACCCAGGTCATCACTGGACAGATCAAGAGAGAGGACGCTGTCACCACCCCAGAAAGTGTACTCATGGCCCTTCCAGCCAGTTGGCCCAGAGGGAAGCGACTGCTCTGATTTCTATCAGCAGAGACTAGTTTTGCCTGTTCAAGTTCAAATCTACTCTGTGACTCAGCAGGTGAAACAAGAATGTATGTCTACCGAAGGCTTGTGTGAGAATATTCATAGCAGCTTTATTATGGCCTCAAATGGAAAGACCTCAAATTCCCCATCACCTAGTAAATGGATAAACAAACTGTGGTCCATTCCCGCAGTGGAACGTGGGTCAGCAATGAGAAGGAACTGGCTTTGGTCATGCATATCAGCATGGAGGAACCACACAGACAGATGTTGGGGATTCATTCACACAGTGCTTTTGTGTTGTTTGGTCACTGATACATTCCACTTGCAAGGAAGAGAGGGAGGGAGCAGGAGGTTTTTGTGAAGGGTGTGCATACTGTCACTGCCATAGGTGATTCTGTGTTGAAGGGCCAGGGCCCACAGTCTCTGATGTGCAGGGTGCCTCCTGTTCCTGCCTCTTATGTCTCTCTGCCTGTGACCCAGGTGGTCTGGTGCTGCAGGGAGCCAAGGTCAAGGCCATGGGTGGTGCTGTAGAGGTTAACAGCCTCCAGCAGGCCGCCTGCATCCTTGGGAGAGCATGGCATCTGCTGTGAAGGGACATTATCTCCTGGAGACACTGGGTGACCCCCTCAGGCAAGGGCCGAGGTAAAGAATGTACTTGAGGGTCTGGTTACTACATGTGGCCCCTTTGCTGTTTCCCCTCCCCTCCCCACTGCACCCCTACATCGCGCCTCTCATCTTCCCTCATCAGAGAGGCCTCCCTGACCATCCCAACCCCTCTAACCCCCACGGCGTGTCTTCTTCATCCCCACCCTTGTGTCTCATGTGGTCCCCACCAGAATGTTGGTGCTGGTGTCCTAAGCATCTCCAATGTGCTAGGTAGGTGTGAGTAATACTTGAGTGAACGTGCCTTTGACTTTGGCCTCTGTACCTTGGTCTTCTCTTCTGCCAGATGGGAGAATAGTACATAGTTCACAGTGTCACACTGCATGAAGTGGGTATGAAATGCTTTGTGAAGGGCAGGCATGGCCCATGGGCTTTTTGTCACCCTCAAGAACATGGCTGGGTGGGTAGCACCTGAGGTGTGGGAGGCTGACTGTGCCAACAGGGGCGGTCGGCTCCCCTCCCCTGGGCACTCGTGTGTCCTCCAGGTGTTCTTTCCTGTGTTTTGGCCCCTCTTGCCCTCCATCATCTCAGTCCAGGCTGTCCCCCCACCATGGCTGTTCATCTCCTAAACCCCTCTTAGCCCTGTTCACTGTCTGCCCACCATCCTCCATGTCCCTGCTCCCCTCTGGGCCAGCCCCAGTCATCAGTCATCTGGAACAGGGCATCACCTTCTGCCTGTCTTTTGGTTCCTACTCTCCTACCTGAAGCAACCAGAGGGTTTTTTTAAAGCCATACACCTGTAAAAGCATACACAGTTATAACCTGGATGTCCCTAATCCCCGATGGGTGTCCTTGCCGTAAGAATGAGGACCAGCCTTCTTATTATGACCTCTTATTATGCTGCTTATTGGCAGCACCCCCAGGAGGCCTTCAGAGTCCTGCATCTGTGGAGGGCTCCTCATCTCAGGCTGGACTGCAGTTCCCCATGAGGGTACAGGTTGATGTGTTGTGCAGTCACTGCCGTGCCCCTGATCCCAGCCAGAGGAAGCACTGCATAAGCGTGCTGGGAGGGCCCACAGGCCAGTGGGGATCCTCCTTCTGCCCACCGGGTTAACACATTCTAGGGATTCTGATGCCCAGCTCAGGCTGAGAAACAGCAGCCTCTTCTGGCGCCCTCCAGAGTCATAGCAAGGTTCCTAACACAGGTAGGGTGCCCCTGAGACACTGTGAGCAAGGTGGCACCAACGGCATTAGGCTGGAAACCTGGGAACACTGTTCTCTTACCATATGAAACACACCTGTCTAGTCCCAGTTGTCCTATGTCCTGCATGGATTTCAGAAAATCCACATGTTTATCTAGGTGCAAACCTTGGAAATTCCCCGAGCCTAGAACCTTTCGCTATTTTGCATGACATAAGAGTTCTTTGCATCGCTTTAAAAGTCTCGAAAATGCCGCTTCTACTCCAGTGTTTGTTTGGACCTCTGCTACTTCGCTTTCCTTTCCTAATGGTCCAGGGCAGCTTCCAGTCTTCCCACTCTACATGAATCCGAATCCACAGGTAATAGTTGAAGTTGGTGCAGGTAATTCCAGAGTATATGTAGCTTAAAAAAAAAAAAACAGCTGCACTGAGGAAGTTTTTACACGCTAGGAAGTTCACCCATTTCAAAGCAGTGATTTTTAGTAAATGTTAGCAAATATCACCACAGTCCAGTTTTAAAACATTTTCATCACTCTAGAGCGCGCCCTCCTCTCCGTTTTCCACCCCTGGGCAGCCACTGATCCACTTCCTGCCTGTACTGACTTCTCTTTTTGGGACATGAAACACTTCGTATTTTGTCATCCCCTGTTTTCCTTTTAGTCTTTATGTGATACGTATTAATTAAAACATTAATTTAAAACATGTATGTGGGAAATGTACTAATCTTTTTGGGTCTGGGGGAGATGGTTGAAATTTTTGTTAAGGAAAGGACCCATCGGGCATGTTGGCATTGGAGCGCAGCCAACCAGAGGGAAATGGCTCCATCTGTTACCAGCCTTTTATCCAGTCCCTCCCATGTGCCCCAGTCCTGCCTCAGGACCCCCCCACACCAGAACATTCCCCTGTGCCCTTCTGGGGTTAGTGTCTTTGCTGAGTTTACTCAGAATGCAAGAGGGGATTGCTTAACCATGTGTGGTCACACTTCCTGTCCTGCACGCTGGCCTCATGAGTAATTTCTGCCCCTTTTGCCTCCCACAGGGACTTCCTTCCCCGAGGGTCAGGAATCGTCACCCGGCGGCCTCTCATTCTGCAGCTCATCTTCTCAAAAACAGGTACAGTGCAATGAGTTGAAGCTGTAGCAGAAAGTGAATGGGGAGGCTGTGTTCGGCAGGAGCCCTGGGGCTTATGATGGAGTCTCTGATGGCTGGGCTGTTGTTTGGGCTCCGATTCAGGTTTTCCATGTGTGCAATGAAGTTGAAGCACAGTTCACTGAATACCCACCCCACATCCTCAGCCATGACCAGGTGCCATACATGCTTTCTGTATTGTAGATAACATGTTTGTGCCAAACGTTTTGAAACTCCGCAGCAGACATTGTGCACTTCAGCCCCTAATGCTTCAGTGCACCACCCCTTGCAACAGGGACCCTCTCCTGCAGCCACAGACTGGACCGCACCCAAGGAAAGGAATCATTCCTGCGTGTTACTTCGTGCCAGTTGTCCCTCAGATACCTTCCCTGGCTGTTTTATACATGCTGTGATCAGTCCAATCAGTCCCATACTGCATTCACTCTGTTGGCATGTTTTCGTCTTCATTAGAGCAGCATCCCTGCCATTTCTTTTTTAATTACTACATTGACTTTTGGGAGATACCTGCAGAAGGAATTTCGGTCCCTTGAATTGAATAAAGAATCTTCCACATATAGATTTTTTTCCCATTCTCCCCTTGGTGGCCTTGGTTTATTTCTCTTTTTCCCCACACAAATCTCACATGACACGGGCTTGTCTCCCAGCTTTAAACCCTCTCGGGCTTCCTTGGAAATCATCTCAGTTCAGAAGGTGGATGGGGGACATTATTGGACAGGGGACCTAGTCCCATGTCGGTCTGCCTGGGGCCAGCCAGTAGTGGGTGGCTTCTTGACTTCGTGCAGGAGAGTATTTTATTAAGGCTGGGGACATGAAACTAGGAAGGGCTTAGCATAGAGGCAGCAACAGAAAAACCCAGACTGGGTTACTTCAGCTCTCTAAACATGTTATAGGAAAGAAATGACCTGAGGCGGGGCTGCTTTGGCTCACTGGGAAGGCACAGAAAAGGGGGCCTTGGGGAAGGTTCTGAGGGTCAGCCCAGGATGCGCTGCCACTGCCCATTTCTTCTCTGGTTGCAAGTCTTGTGGGGACCCTTAGAGTTCAGGAGATGTGCGCTGGTTGGGGGAGAAGTAGGGGAGAGGGGAAGGTGCTGTGTGTCCCCAGAGGGAGAGCTCAGCCTGGGTCCTTTGTCTGGAGGGTTTTTCTTTCTCGCAGGCAGGAACCTTAGAGGAGTCTTGGGGAGGGTTTCAGCAAAATACTCATTAGTTCTCCAGATGTGCCCTTTCAGGGTCGTGGTTGCACTGATTGGTCAGTGCCAGGGCAGGGGGTCATTGGTTATTGAAGCTGGTCCTGGCGTATTCACCTGGTTTTGCTGCTTTTCTGGGCCTGGAGTTGGAATCCATGGGAGGCCTAGATGTTATCATTTTCTGCATGTGGTGACTTGCTGCATGTGGCTGTAATTGCTCAGCCATTTTGTTTGGCTCTCTGTCTCAGTTTCCCTATTCCACTTGTCCTGTCTTACTGGCCTGTCTCAGGGAGAGGGGTGGCATTGGAGCTGGGTCCTCTCTTCTCTCCAGAGGTCTCCGTGCAGTTCTCAGTGCTGCGTCCCTACTGACCTGGAGTGTCAGCCCTGGCCAGCTCAGCGCTGGGAAGGCAATGCGTACGTTCAGTTTACAGATGAAGAAACAGAGACCTCGCCAAGTTACCTGCTTCCTGTCAGGCTCCAGATCTGGAATCTGAGGTTAGACCTCAGACCAAGCTCTCAGCTGTATCCTTGTCCCACCCTGCCCATTTGCCACGGAAGGTCAGGTCTCCGGGGAGAGGCTGTTTCAGATTGACCCAGCACCTCTTTGTCCAGTCAGCTGTGCCAGGAGGCCCCGCTGCAGAGCAGCAGGTTGCAGAGTCCACAGAACTGTTGGGCTTCTGCTTCCCATTTTGCAGGTTGTTGGGGGTGGGGATGATAATCTGCACTTTCGTGAGCTCCCTGGTGGGTGGTGCTGACGCTTCTGGCCCTTGGCCGTCCTGGGAAAAACCTCTGACCCTTCCTGTGGGAGCTGGCAGCTAAGGCTGCTCAAGTTCAGATTCTCCTGTGCAGTTTACTGGCTGCCTGGCCCCTAGGGAGGGACTGCTCCTCACAACCATGTTTCCTATCTGGACAGTGGAGATAATAATAGCATCCCTTTTGTTCGTTATGGCGAAGACCATGTTATTCAATATAGGTACATCCTTAGGATAGCGCTGAGTGGTGCTGACCCAACAGCTGCAGTTTTGTGCTTGCTGCCAGCCTGTATGGGGACAGCTTGCTGGGAGAACAGGTGGGCTGGCTTCCTACACTGGAAGGTTACGGCCATGTCATGGCAAAGGGCTCCCTCATCACCTCCACAGTGGTTGTCTTTCAGTGGTCCACTGAGCGTGTCACTCAGTGGTCCACTGAGCACATACAGTGTGCCACAGGCTGGTCCAGGGCTGGGGCGCCGAAATGAGCAGGACCAGGACCTGTTACCTGTTCTCCTGGCACTTCCATAAGTGCTGGGGGGACAGATGAGGAAGACTTGCTAGGAGACCAAGGAGGAGACACACAGGCCTGGCCATCATCATGGGAGCCTGTGTGGTGGGGGAGGGTGGGGACATCACAGGGCTTTTCGGAAGAAAAGTGATGTGAGTTGAGTTTGACGAGTACGATGGGTATGTTGGGGAAGAGAGAATTCTTCTTCCAGCAGTGAGACTGCGTGAAGACCATGAGGCTACAGTGCCCAGAGTAGCCTGTTGGAGGAACTGAAATTCTTTCTGCAGGAAGGGAGAAGCACATGACAAGCAGTGGCCCTGTGGGAGCACCAAGGGCAGGAACTTGAAGGTGCACATCTACCCAGTGCCTGACCCAGATTACCGTTGAAATCTTCATGTCTGTTGTCCCTACTTCACAGAGGACTCAACTGAGGCTTCTGAGCTGAAGCCTCTTTCCTGAGGTCACATGGGAGGGTTATTCTGTAAGCTCCATCTTAAACTCACTCTTGGAGAGTTTGGCTTGAGACCAAGGTGTGACTTGAACAGACCTTGTAGCTGCTTATGGAGAAGAGACCACAGGGACCAGTTCAGGGTCAGGGAGACCCAGGAGGCAGTGGGTGCCTAGCAAGGCAGGTAAGGACAGTGGCAGGGTTGGATCTTGTTGCGTTGGGGTGCGGGTAGGGGTGGGAAAGAGGAGTCCTGGTGTCCCACATGGGAGTGGCCTTGCTGTGTCCCAGTCTGCATGTTCTCCCTCCTCTACCTGACCATGGCATTGAAGGCCTCTTAACGCCCCAAGTAGAGGTGGGCCCACTGTGTGGTGTGGGCCTGGTTCAGACACTGGGGAGGAAGTGTGAGTACTGGCACTCCCTGAGCCCAGCCAGGCTGAGAGGGAAGAGCACAGGACGTTGTGGGAGAGTATATTGGGCACTGGCTCTACTTTGGGCCAGAGACCCAGGAAGCAGGGTCTAGGCAGGGGCAACAAGTGTGTGTGAAGCTGTGAGGTGAGCGTGGGGAGGAGGCAGATGGCATAGCCTGGCAGGGGTGGGGAGGGATTCCAGCTGTGGGAGCCCAGGTGGCATGCAGGGTGGGGATAGCAGCTCAGCCCACTGGCTGCTTTGTAAGGGAGGGACCGGCAGGGACAGCAGCACGAGCCAGGAGGACAGGGAGAGGTTAGCCTAGTGAGAACTGATGGGGCCTGGCTCATGGTGGTGCCTTGGGTGTGAAGGGCGGTCTAGAGTGACCTTGAGGGGAGGAGGCCACCAAGACACCAACTGGCAGAAGCATGGAGTGGGAGAGGCAGATGGGACGTAGGACACCCCACTCATGTGAGGGAGAAAGAAAGCTCAGTGCAGTGTGGGATGAAGTGATGGCTGGGGCTTCTGGGTTCTCTGGGGGCTAGAGGGGGCGTGTTGTTCCTGGAGATGGCGCTTTTGTCTGGCTGGCTCTCTGGGACATGACTCCGGAGCCAAGTTGCCACCCTTTGCTTCTGGGGTCTTAAGCCAATAGTTCCCCTCTCTTTTGCCTCAGCTTCCTCACCCAAGGTGAAACGAGGTGAGAGTGGCACCCCATGCGGCAGTGTGGCCCTGTGGCTGGGCTTCATTCCTCCCCTCTGACCCTTGTGACGCCCACTGGTGCCCAGCTTCTCCTTGTCCAGTCTGGTCTTGGTGAGCCCTTATTTTTAATCAGCTTAGTTTGAAAATTACCTGAGACTGCAGCCACCAAGAGTTTGGTGGCTCATGGGTGAGCCCCACTTCCCTTTGGGAACCACCCTGGGCCTTGTAAACCCTGTGTGCTGGGGACTGTTCTTGTGTGGAATGTGGATGACTCGTGCCTCCTGAGCCTCCCCTCCCGGCCTTGACCTTGGCTGGTGCTCACATAAGCCAGAGAGGGGTTGTCATGACTTGACTCCCAGCCTCCTCCTCGTGGCTTTGTGGCCCTGACAGGGCTCTGTTGGCCTTTGAGACCTTACCTCCTGTTGGTCACCTGCTGCAGCCACAGTGTCCCTCCTTATCCTCAAGTTTGGCTCATTTGTTTCTGCCTCTGGGCCTTCATCCTCACTGTGCTGCCTGCCTAGAACACCCTGTACCATCCTCTTCCTCCTGCTCCAATATAGGAGCTCTACTTCAACCCCGTCCTCCAGTTACTGCTGCTGTATTTCCTGTGCAACCTGTGTAATGTGGCATCATCCTGTTCTTTGATTTTCTTAACAGCCTCCTCTCTCTGGCCCTGTTCCAACCCCAGTGGCATGAGAGAGGGACCCTGACCTGTTTAGTCCGTTGTTTTCCCCCCAATCTCCCCTGCCCAGTACAGGGCCTGGCACCTAGTAGGTGCTCCATCGGCACTGGCCGGGTGCCCAAGCATGCTCAGAGGGCTGCTGCTCTGCCCCTTCTCTTCCACAGGGGGGATTGCAAATGATTGTGCTGCACCTTTCCCCTGAGCTAGGCCCTGGTGGGGCCCTTTCTGTGAAGCTGCGGCTTCTGCAGCAGTTGGGTGTGCACCTTATGTCTCCGTGGGGAAACTAA